GTTTGTGTACGTACCTGTGTATTTTCTTGCCATGTCTGTTTTTATTTCACAGAATAAACTTGACTGAGTGTTTTTTCAAATTAATAATTGGACTCCTCTTAACCACAGCAGTCGCAAAGTTCTGATGAGGAGAAAATAATCATAACAATCTTTGTGATTCGCAACACCGGTCACCTGCTGCTGTTTAAAAAGGAGTGGCTGATATGATAAGATAAAATGAATGAAAAAGATCTCTTAACTAATGGTACAACCTTCCAGAAATTTCTCAAGCTGATCATGCATCTCATTGTGTTCAGATGTGACCAGGGCTGACAATTCTAAAAGATCTATTCACCTATATTCATATGGGGGTCGTTAGTATTTTTATTCTTACTGCAGCCTTATTTACTAGCCGTCAGTTGAACAAACGGCTGGGTATCATGCTTTAGGAGGTCCATAATTTTAGCGTTCTTCAGGCTGATGGTGTGGCTTGGTATTTATGGTTTCTTCATAATCCGGGATGATGAAGCATCCAAAGACTTCTAACTACGATATTCATCTTCACACTACATTAGAACTTTGTCACTATTGTACAATTTTTAGTCATTCTGATGGCTGATATTTCATCCCAGGCCCATATAGAAGTCAGTGCGTGGTTGCTTGACAATGTCTTTGGATTAAAACACTGGGTTGGAAGCAGAGAAAACAATTGAGGGCTATAGTCTCCCAGGGGTGTGCTACTGATAAATGGTTCACCCCCTCTTCCCTCTAACATCATTAAAAATGTCAAATCATTAAAAGCTGCAGCTCTCCATCTCTCACTCACTCGCTCACTCACACTCTGATAGGAGACATCTTCTGCCAGCCTCTCCTTTCTGTGTGAAATTGCCAAGTGTTTGTGGGCTACATTTGACTTTTACATCAGTCACTATGCACTGATTTGTCTGTTTAATTATCAGTGGATGATACAATGGCAGTAGAACAGATTGCTAACAAATACATGTGCACCAATTCAGAGATACTAATAATTGAAATGGCATTATGCACATGCCTGCAATGGCCTTAACAAACAAAAAGCAGACAGGAATCTGTTATCTTTTGACAGGAAGAGACCTTGAGCTGCATGATTAAAAATGGGAAGTGGAAAAAGCAGAACTTGCCCATGCCTCACTACTACCACTGCTAAGGTGATTTTGAGCAAAGCTCTCAAACTACCACACAGGAGCATCTGGTGGTAAAGAGCCTTGAAACAAGGACGTTGTACTCCTGAAAAGAGAGCATTACTGTAAGTCAAACTATCTTGGTTAAGTAAAGGCCAATACAGGCATTAGTGGTGTTTGTCCAATGAACAACTCCCATTTGATAAAAGAAGCTTCACCAATATAGTAAGGACTGCTTCTGGCGGTTCTGTTTCAATGCTGATGAATATTTCGGCAGCATTCAGGTCACCGTGACTTTTGTTTCCACGCCAGCTCTCACGGACTGTTACAGGAGCTGTATGTGGGCAGAGTGGGAGGAAACAGGTGGTCGGGAGTGAGGGGCATTGGAGAGAAGGCTACTGTGTAAGCTGTGTAAGCCATCCTGCTGTCTCGTCAGAACACGCTGTCAGGTCCTGGATCAGTTAGTTGGATGTGTGCATGTGTGCCTGCACGTGTTTACTTGTTGTTCTCTAGGGCTGATCATTTGGAAGAGACGCACCCTGCTGTCATTATACTGAATCAGTGAATCATTACACCTGCACGTTGGCTCATAAAGACCCTGTTTGAACTATACTTTGTTGCCATGGGTGCACTCTGGATCAATGACAGCTCATTGATCTTTTGCTCATTAAAATTTGATGAGTGGATTAATTGATACGTTGTAATGTCTGTTTTACTAGTGAAAGTTTCCTAATGATCTCCATATCTTAGGGAACCAGGATGTCTGTGCTGCGCTTCATTTAATCATTTTATCATGTGTGAGAATTCACAAGGCCCCAAAGACGGCACATTAATTTCACAACTTTGGTGCTATTCAAACAAACCCTGCACAATGACAGCGTGCCTGTCGTCGTCAGACATTCCCTCCATTGCTCATTTGAACACATAATTATTAGAGCCCGACCGATATGGGTTTTTGGGGGCTGGTGCCGATATTAAAGTGAAAAAGAGCCGGTTTATGAGCCAACTACAACCAGAGCCTTTACGGCTCTGACTACAGCGTTTCACATCTACAACGTCACAGAAAGAGGAGCTACAGGAAGCCGTGTTAGATTATTGTTCAGCTCAGATTTATTTATGTCTGCTCCGGTTTAATCATTTCAAACACACAGACTAACTGCAGACGGGCGGCTCGCAGATACATTTAGAATACGTCAAACTATACTTTAAAGGTTCAGTGTGTAATATTTCTGAGGATCTATTGACAGAAATGCAATATAATATCCATAACTGTTTTCAGAGCAATGTTATATGGACAGAAATGTGCTGTTACCTTCCTGAGACAGATGATGAATATTATTGGCAATGAAACGATAACAGCAGAGAAGCTCAGATCAGCAGCTAAATTTCACATTTTACTGCCCTGGTGGAAAACATGTATTTCTTTTTACTGCTAATGGTGATATGTAACAAAACCGTGTGCCTATCAAGTGACCCATAATGAATACTTTACGAATTTGCATTAAAAAATTAAAAAGAAGCATGTTTTTTTGGATAGTGCTTCCCCACTGTGCACACAAATGTGTAATTTGTACTTTCAGTTAATGCTAAATGCCCATTAAAACCGTTGGACCGTTTTTAAAACAAGCTGAAATTATAGCTGTCAGTACTACTTTGTGTTTCTGTTGTATTTTAAAACCTTAAAAACACTTTGGTAATATTTGCATGCTTATCTAATTAAGCAAAGCCAGAGGAGCCTTGATCCTCACCTGACAATTTCATGTATTATGTGGTTTATAATGGACTGTGGTGCAGAAACAATGAGGCTTACATTGTCCTGGTATCTGTCAGTGGTCATACTTGATGCACTAGATGTGTGTGTTTTTGAGAATTTCTTCATGTTCTTTGGTATGTTAGTCCAGATGAGCCAACACTCCCAAGATATAAAATAATGTATTACAGGAGTATGAGACATCATGTAGCACTTCATTTCCTTATGTGGCTGTTTTATTAATGAATAAAAAAACCCTAATTTCTTGACTGGCAATCTCTTCTCTCATAGATGACATCTTTGTCCTGTCTCAGGCACCGTAGCTATACTGCTCGCTTGGGGGGGGTGCAATTCACAACCCTCACCACTAGATGTCACTAGGCTCATTAATGTTAGCGCTCCTCCACTGATAAACACGGCATTAGCTTTGTGGCTAATTTAGCAATGGGCAGCGTGAGCTGCTGTAACGTTGGGGGATTTTAGAGTATATTTAGAAGTGATGAACTAGGGACAAATGTGGAGCATTCATTAGAACTGCCACACTGTTTGAAATAAATGTACAGTTACGTCTGTCCAGCAGCGTAACTTTCAACACCCAACTACCGTAACATTAAACAGTTGTGAGCTGGTAGGAAGCCGGGAGATGGCAGTGGGTCTGTTTTTTATTAATTATTAGTCACGTAATTAACTTGACCAAAGACCGACTCACCGCTCACACAGCCAGCTGTGTGTTTCTAAATGCTGCGCGTAAGCTCCGTAAACTCCGGTCAGCTGATTGTTTTCTTCTGTGTGTTTTGTGGTGAGGCAGTGTAGTTAACAGGGGAGCTGCAGCTGGTCGCCCTCTGGTGGGCAAACTATGCAACACCCATGACATAAGTGAAGGATCTGACTCTAGGTTTCTTTTTTAATAGTCATATCTGCTGTTATAAGCGGCTGATGCAGATTAAATACAATTGGCTCATATCGGCCGGCCAATATATTGGTCGAGCTCTAATAATTATAAACACCCTGTGTGTGTGTGTGTGTGTGTGTGTAAAAAGGAGTGAAGGGAGAAAAATGACACTGGCAGTTCAGTGCTAATGTCTCATCAACTATATTTACACACATAAAGCAAACCAGGTTGGAGAGAATCTACGTTAACTAGGTTTCTATTTCACACAACCTAATAAGAGACATATTTTCTAATGCACATGATTTAGAAAGTGGGTCATTGTCAAAGGCAAAAAATTTTTTGATTTCATAAGTTAAAAAAATGTACTGATGGCTGCTATCTCTTTGACTGCCAGGCAACGCTTGGAGACTGAATCACTATTCCACAGAAGCTTGTTAAAGAAAAGCAGCCAGCGCATTGAGTGCTTTACTTAACAGATGGAAGTTTTAGAGGAGTAAAGTAGTGCTTGACCATATGGACTAACGTTGGCTCTGACACTGCAGCCGTGCTTTCCCGTATCACACGGCTCTCTAGGCTGCATTAATACACGTACCTATGAAGTACTAATGCATATTCGCTGCTACTTAAATTTGTGTATGTCTGTCTATGCACCCCTCAGAATTGTTGCATCAATATTTCCCTGGCCTGATCATCAAATTAAGCTTTCCAAAGACAGTCAGGGGACTCCACCCTGTCTTTTTTAATGTTTGAAGAGGAGTGTTATTATAATTGAACATTAAGATTGCAGAGGCTTATGAATATTCAAAAGAGCAGAAGTCTCCCTAGTCTTTATTGTTCCTTTATTCCTTTCTATCTTATCTCACTTTCTTTGCTTCCTGTTGGCCTGAATTTGAACTGGACCCAAACCAATGCAGGTTTTCTCAGGAGAACATCCGCCGGAGCTGTAGTGGCATTTTAATATGCATAATGCAAAACATCATGTTGACTATTTTCAATAATTGCGTGTTGAGTATTCAGTGTGTAAGCTTATTAAGATGATGTGCCAACTATTGTCTCTAATATTAGGAGCAACTATTTCTTGGCTCCTGTAAATAGACCAGTGCTTAGTGACCCCCAATAAAAACTTGTTTAGTTTATTGAAACAACGGCATTGGGCAGACACCTTTTCATGTGTATTAGTGTCACTCTGTAATCAAACCATTGCATCTTTTCTCAACAGGAAAAACCCAAAGCTTGATAGTGTGACCTGTGCCCGGTTGACTTGGCAGAGATGCACTTTTCTCAAGACGCCTGCACTCGAATGGATTAAGAGGTTAGCTTCCGATCCCAAAACCAACTCTGCTCATCCACCTTCATTGTCTTCCTTGGCACTGCCTTTCATTGTCTTTTTTTTTAGCTGCTTTTCTGTCTATATTCAAAGCCCACATCTGGTCAAAGCCATGCATTGTGTTGGATGAGATTGGTTCTGATAAAATGACTTTCTGTTCATTCAGCAAAGACTGAATACATAAAGACGTGTGTGTGTATAAATGCCTTTTGTTTGAAAATGATGATGTATCCCCCTGATGATGGTAAGTGGTTGATTGATTGTGATGTGAAGATAGACTTACTGATTTCCATGATCTACTTGACAGTCCATAACCCAGCTGTGGAAACCTGATTAGACTGGTTTAGGCTTACCTGTAGGCACTAGGAAGTTGATCCAAGGCAGCTGCTAAATATTTTAACAGGTCCCAACCGAAAAGCAACTAATATTCTACAGGCTTGGAGAGTGTCAACCCGCAGAGGCCCCATGTCACTAACCCAATTGCTATAGCACACCTCAGAATTACAATACAGCATGAGCCCAGGTGCTGAGGAACAGAATAATACCACAGCCACAAACTGTTCATTGGAGCCAGATGAGATTTTCACAACCTGAACTGAAAATACGGAAGAGCAGCCTCACAACTTTCAACCTAACATGTAACCAAATAGAAAGTGTTTGTGCTCAATGCTGACTGAATAAAAATGTTTGACAGATGAGGCAGTCTTATGTGTCACGTGCACGAAATAAGTTCACCACAACAGCTCCATGTGTGATAAAAGGAGATCTGTATTTCAGAGTGTGTGTGTGTGTGTAGGTGGCAATAAAACAGTCCTTTTTAATAATTGGCAGAGACTATACAACAATATTTCCCTTGCGGAAGCTATGTTTAAAAAGTTCAGGGTTGTAATATATTTAAGGACCTGTGGGATGTTTTTATAAAGTATGTCTTGATAAAAGTAAGACTTTTATGTGACATCAGCGGTACACTAAAAGATCTACTTAATAAATGGTGTTATATTTTTCCATACCGTGTTTTTACAAGCAAAGCATCACATCTACATGCTGGCACACAGCGTTTGGCTCAAATACCATTAGGCAAATAACATGTGATAACAATATATGAAACTATGCACTCTTATATGCTCGACTGTGAGAACAGCACTAATCTAAATATAATTTGTCCTCCTGCTCACCTTATTTATGAGATCAAATTCTGCATTCTTTTTGTAGAAACGGATATCTCAGTTTGTGGTTGGGAGTTTGCGTGTTTTTACAGCCAAAAACAACACATACAATTATATAAGATTGAGAATAAAATATTACAACAAAAAGAAACCACTGCAATATACAAAGCAGAAGAGACTGTTTAGCAGCAGCATGTAGCTGACCATCAGAAAGCGTACAAATGAACGTCCCTGGAACCGTCACATAGGAACTTTTTCAGGCTACATCCACACTACTACACTTTTTTCCCTTGAAACGTTTTTAAATTAAACGATCTCCGACCACACCAACATTTTAGCTGCGCATCAGATCTCCGTCTATATTAAAACAACTGAAAACACACATCTAGTTGGCCATTAACTTACACTAAGCATGCGTGTATCGGTGTAAACAGAAAGCAGACTGGCTTCTCCGCCACACTAGTAACAGTTCCACCAAGAGGAACAGTTACAGGAAGTAACACGCAATTTTTGCATCAAAAACCCGACTGGGAGTCGTAGCAAAGTAAATGTGGCAACATGCACAGTAACTTTCAAGTGTATGTGTTATTTACACAGTGCAAAACGTTTTAATAAAGGTGCCAAGTAGATTTGTGCTGGTGGTTTGGTTTCAGATGTGAGTGTCTGTGTTATTGGTATTTTAAAGTCCTCCGTTTTTTTTGTCTGTTCACACAAAAACCCTACCCCGGAGTTTAAAAAAAAAAAAAAAAAAGGCCAGCAGCCTTTTCAAACATCCCTGTTTTAGGTCTTTGGGTTTCTCTTTTAGTCTGAACAGGAGACGCAAATGTAGAAGGTGGTCTGTGTTTTAAAATGAAGACGTAGTGGTGCGGATGAAGTGGTCTTGACTTTTACACAGGTTAAGCTTAAGGTGAGCCAGGTTAGTCTGGAGGGATGAGTTTCCATGGTAACTTGGGTCAGACATATTTAACCCCCCCCCTTTATTAACAGGATTTCCAAAAAATTTGAATTACTGAAATAGGACTAATTTAACAGCACTTTAGAAAGGGACGGAGTAAAATAGGATGCCTGATAACAGAAAATTTGAGTCAAGTCATCACATTAAGTAGTATATGTTCACCACAGTGTTGTTCAGTCATTGCTCAACTCAAAGGCCAGAGTTCAGCCACCAATGAATGAGTTCAAAACACCACAAGAGTCCATATCTCAACAAAACCTCCTCTTCTGGATCCCAGCAAGGAAACAAAAAATACAGTTTCAATACAAAAGCTGTCCAATGAAAATAAAACCAAGTGGTGCCTCTCGTGTCTAATAGACGAGCTTAGTGATTCTCCGACAACCACGGAGTTACCGCCCGTTGTGTTGCATGTGTGAAGCAGGCGTGTGCAGCGATCGCCACAATATGCCAACTTTGCATCTTTCTGTGGTGCATTTTCCGACGATTCACCTGCCACTGCTAAAAATTTACCTGCATGTGTCGGGTGCTAATTTCATTCCCTAATCAAATGTTCTGAGTCACAGTGAGTGTGTTAGGCCATACTTAAACGTGATTTGTCTACCACAAAAGCAGTTTCAGGAGCACAAGCCAACACTACCATGCAGAAACATGTCTTTTCTCTGCATGCTAACTCTATATAAATATGGCAGCCGTACAACAGGAATTTCCCTGTCAGGATACAGTCAGTTATTGTTCACACTAATAAACTGCAGCACATACAATGTATCCTTGAACCATCATGAAAACCAGAATAACACAAGGCTTTGTCCATTAGAGTTGGATGTCTACTTTTTAAATGACTACTGGAATTTTTTTCTGGCTTAATGTGGCTCAGTTTGTATAATGTATGCAGTCTATTTTCTAATCACATCAGTGTGACTGTTGGTGTGGTCAGGGTGTATGTGTGGGGGTGTGTGGAAGCTTACGAAAACAGGACAAAGATACGAGCCAGTGCTGAAGCAACCAGAAGCTCATCCTGCCAGTTTTCCAGTCTCACTCCACAGCTATATGGCTTTTTTAACCGACAAAGAATAACAGTTTTAGCTGTATGCCTAAATGGTTATGACAAACAGATCCTAGTATGTGGAAGCAATTTTTTATGGCTTCATTCATCAAGTTATAAACTGATTATTTTATTAATTAATCTGCCAATTATTTTGATTAATAATTAATTTGATTTATGGACCATAAAATTTTGTCCAAGCTTTGTACCACCTGGCTAAAAGATGTCTAGCTCTTCAGCACTGAAGGACAGCACTGAGGCTGTAGCAGGAAGACCTTTTTTTGAGTGCATCTTCTCACACTGCCCGCTGCAGCTCTGGTCATGTCATACTTAAATGGTAGAAGCCCCTCCAGAGTTGTTCATGCAGGGTAGGGGCCAAATCATACTATGGTGGTTCAGCTACCCTAAGAGATGGTCAGTTAGCATCCAGTTATATAGTCCAGCTAAATGGTCATCTCATTGAAGAAATGTGATAGGTGTGGTATTCCTGCTGTACAGTGGAAGCCCCCTCGAATTGGCTTGTCATGGTTGCGTATTAGCATGCAGACTGCATCTGAGCTGACGATGGCAGAAAACTCTCCATCACAATACTCCAGAGTCCAAGATGACGTCATTCGAATGTTGAGGGGTTGAGCGAGTTCAAAGTTGTGAAAATGGATGTTTTGACTTCCTGCTTTAAGGCCAATTTATACTTCTGTGTCAAGTCTAAGCTGTAGCAGACGTGAACATTTATGTGCCGTCGTGAGCATCTGTCGCATTGTCTGTCGCTCTGCAGTTACACCACCAAGACACTAGTTGGGTTTCTATGTGGAGTTCCTTCTTCTTTGTTGGTGTATGCTACTAAAAAAATGCCGTCTGAAACTGAGTGGATCATTTAGGGCCCGAGCACAAACCATGCAAGGTACCTATTGAAACTGAAAGGATTATCATATTGGAGGTGGAGCTGATCGATGTTAAACAGCAGTTTCCTTTAGTGAAATTACTAAAACACAGAAATTAGAGAATGCATTGGAGGAGATGGTATGTACGATCAATGAACCAAGCCGGAAATTCCTAGGAGGAAATGTGATGCTATCAAGCTGACCAATCACAGTTCTTGCAGTCTGTCGGCATTGAACCTACGCCATAGATTTGATGCAGAAGTATAAATTGGCCTTTAGAGCTGCAGTGTGGTACTTCTACATATGAACGTCTGTTACATTCAGGCCCTCGGTTTTCAGTTCTTAAATCAGCGTCTCACTGGTAATTATGCGTTTTATGCCAAGCTGAAGGAGGAAAGGTAATATACACATACAAGTAGTGAAATTCATCCTCTGCATTTAACCCATCCCTGAAGGGGGAGACCAACTCCTGATGGAAACGCAGTGCTGTGAGGCCATAGTTCAATCCACTGGGCCACCGTGCTGCTAACCCTAAGCCCTGTAGAGTCACGATCTGCCATTGCTGTAAATAAAAATGGTCCATTCAAGAGTTTATTATTGTATAGTTGTTCACTGTTCAAGATGTGAAATGAGCAATGACTCAGTCTTCCTACTTGGTCATCATATTTCAATAGTAATTAAAATATTGTTATGTGAATGTGACAATCTGCCTCTTTTTTTTGCCAAAAGTATGTTTTGATTTAATTTTTTTCCTTTGTTCATTGCCATTTTGGACTTTCAAGGTAAAAAGTTCACTTCGTGGTCACAGTTCTCCATGAAAAGATTTATTTTGTATTCCTTGGGGAATGTTACTATGGAGGCAGGTTGGTGTTTGGATTGTAGTGCTGTGTGTGGACACAAGAAATAACTGAATTCTCAAAGAGGGTGTGCTTTGGCTCTTA